TCTCACTGTCTCTCTCACTCTCACTGTCTCTCATTGTCTCTCTCGCTGTCTCTGTCTGGATTAAGAATCGCGATAAACCGCGAAACTCATCATAAGCGACCGCGTGAATTGGATACGCAAATTTCTAAGAACTTGCTGGCACGGAATTAATTTTATCACGGCTAAGTGCCGATATTAAATGTAATGCTACAATAAAGCCGTCGTATTATTTCGAACAAAATGAAAAACGGAAGAAAAAACATTGGAAAAATGCTAATCTATCCACATAATGAATTCACTCGTGATGAAAATACATTTTATGTAATGGGCATGGAGAGTGACGCTATTATATTACATAAATCAATTTCGTTTATATACAATGTCTAATGGAACATGGGGACTTTTACGAAGCCGCTCTCGACCGTTACAATTCCATCGTCGCCCAGTCTCTTCGCCATTGGGAATTATTAAAAAAAAATAAAAAATAAATAAATAAATAAATAAATAAAAATAAAAAAAAATAAAGAGAAAAGAAAAAAAAAAGAAATGAAAAATTTACCCATCAACGTTGATCACGTGGTTTGCTTGGCTGTACTATGCCGAATGTCCCATTAGGCGTGTATGGGATCCCACTATTTCCTAAAATTTCACCAACCGCAGCGGCCTTTCCGCGGGTAAAAGTAGGCGAAGGTAGGAGGCGAGGCTATTGGTCACGAATGCCGGCAATGGCCCAACCAATTTTATTCGTAGCTTTCTTTAAAATTGGCGTTCCGCTACTTGCCATTATTAGTTCCTAGAAGAGGTCCGACGAAGGCGCGAGCCACGCTTCGAAGATGTGCATCGTCCAAGCTTTACCTAATAATCCGTTGGCCTAATACTGTCCGTTAAAATGTCGCTTTCGTTGCCTCCTTGGCTTTTTTTTTTTTTTTTTTTTATTTATATCCCTTCCCCCTCCACCATACGAATACGAAGGATTTCGAATAGGGTCAAGATTTTCACTTGCCGCCATCTTCGAGCTCGATTACCTGCGATATTTACATCTTAATCCATTAACTTTCTTACTTGTCCGCTCGTTCGTGCATGCGTTTAATTTTTACCATGGGACGGCATTTGATCGATGAGTGCGCAGCAACAACAACAACAATAACAACAACTTTCGCGCAAAATTTTCCATGAAATGCCTGGGATGGGCGATCGACTCTAGTCGCTCGTCAATGCGTCCCGTTGGTATCGCGTATGACCAATTGATCTCGTAATCTCGTTCGTAGTCGTTGCAAGATGAGAAAAATGTCAGTTTCAATCTCCAGACGCGGGTACGGGTACGGCAATTCCACTTTGTATGAAAATCTTGCCACGGTAAAGCAAGCAATACGACGACAATTTTTACGCTCGTTTACGCATGACTTTTGTGCGTGCGTGCGTGCGTGCGTTCGTGCGTGCGTGCGCGTGTCTGACGATATTACGAAAGCCGGCACATTGCATGAAAACAATCGAGAAAACAGTCGTCCCTTATAAAAATAAGGTTAAAGGATCGTTATAAACTTTTCCCCAAGATAAGCCATACTCGATTAACAGATATTTTTATCAAAAGATCATCGATAGCTTTTTCTTTATCCGCGCAATAAGCGGCTTCACGCCACTTACGAATTTGACTATTATTTCGGTCTGCAGCAATTAAAAGATAATCTTACGAATCTTTTTTTTTCCCCTCCTTCCCTGCTCATACTCTTCTTGTACCATAAAAACATCACGTTTCTTTCGAGCGGAGCGATTAACGCTCGAGTGCTTGTTGTCGTGCGACTGGGGAACACGAGACGTCGAGTCCCGAGATAGCCAGGATAAAAATAATCAACGGATGCGCTCGCTAGGGCATTTAATCGAACGTTTACCTAACTATTATTGGCTGAAATTACATTTCCTCGATTGGACTACGTCGGGATGGTGGTGACCCGCTCAGTTAGAAAGGAGCACGCTTTCCCCGGCTTTTTGTCAGCTTCACCAAATCGACGCATCGAAGCACGCGTGGCATCCCCGCTCCTCCTCCTCCTCCCCACACCCCATCACCACCTCTCTCCGCAACCCACCTGAGTGAGCTCGAACGAGGAGAATTTCAATATACAATTTGTATAACCAAACTCTGGCCAATATTCCCAGTGGAGGTACGTGCGTCTATGTTGGTAAATGCGTGATCGGTGATGCCGTAAGACGTTAATCATTGCCGTTAACCATTGCCGTTAACCATTGCTTTGGATGAAAAATCTAGGAGTTTTCGGGGGGTGGTTGACGCGGGAGGTGGAGATATCCAAGATCTCGAGCTCTCGGTAAGTTTGATTTTCGCCAGCGATGGACGGATTGGCTCAGGGAACGTTCGTCCACGGAGAAGAGTATCGGGAAAATTCAGCTCCGATGCCGGCCGATCGATCGAAAATTCGCGACATTTAAAGAGTGGTGGCGGGTGGGTTTTTTTCTTGGGGGGGGGGGAAAGACGAGTTCGAAGACGAATGAGACTCGCATAGGAATGGACCGGCGAAATCCTTAATACCTTTGGACGAGGAAACTATTTAGTGATTCGCGAGGGCCTCGCTCGACCTCAAATTAGAGAAACTTGATGGGAAAAGGAGGGTAGCCGAGAGATAGATAGATAGATAGATAGAGAGAGAGAGAGAGAGAGAGAGAGAGAGAGAGAACGTTTATTTAACACTGTGATCGGACGCGACTGCTCGGGCGATCGATGGATCGGCGGCAGACATCCAGCCGCTCACTTTCATCGCTCACTTCTATCCAATTGTATGCTTCGTTGTTTTTTTTTTCCATCGAATGTCTTCATCGAAATCTTTCCAACTAATGGCCATTGACGGCCACTTTCTACTTATAGCTCAACTTTACTTTTTCCACGTCTGAAAGTTCAACGGCGCGCTCAATGGTTTTTCTTCGTCTTTTTACTTCTCTTCTTTTTTCATCAATTAATTAACGCTGTGCACGAGAAAGGCAACTTGGGACGGATAAACGTCATTCGCTTCTTATTAATAAATACAGGCGAAATTTATTTGAAATATACGTTTGCGGCACATCCGCGGTCCATAAAATTTATGCTAATTGCTACATCGGTTTCCCTTTGTTTTTAATATAAAAAGCCATTTTTCGACTTCGCCTTGCTTAAAAATTTATAAGCTCGAGATTTCGTTATTTTTACTTTTATCTCGAGAACGTATTGGCATTATAGAATTTTATAAGTGTCGAAGGTAATGGTCTTTAGTTCACATTGCAACGGCATCGAGACGTTATTGTAACTTGTCGTGTTGTACAGAAATTCTTAATTCTTAATAAATAAATTCTTAAGCCCCGAGCTGGCTTGCTAAATCAAATTTAATTAAAAATCATTTACCTCAAGTACCCAAAGCATAATCGCAACATTTCGATCTACTTGCGGACGAGTATTCTTGTCCCTTGCAGCCAGAGTATGGCAAAAACAATGAAATGCAATGATTTTGAAATAGAAAAGTATACGTCGCTCGCGATGTTAATGCAAATTCATCGTATTAACGAAGAGAATGACTTTATTCCCTCAAATTATTTGCCGTAATTTATATTTACAAAAGAGATACGTGCAACACAGCCATCCCAACCCAAAGTAGTACACATCTCAAAAGGAAAGTAGTACACGACCGAGGGTACTTAATACACACACGCTGCCTCCTATTATTTTCGTGCATTACGTCGTCCCGACTGTGCGCTGCCGCACAAACTCATACAAAATACATAAACACCGTCTCAATAAGCCCTTAATCGCTTTAATAATACCGGAACTTTTTCAGCAGTAAGTCGCCAAAAGATTGCGGAAATAGGAGCAGCCGCCCCGCGAGTTCAGCGGCACTAAAGTATCGGACGGATGAGAGTACGGAAAGTCCAATTGCGTGCGAATCCCATTGCGTTTTAGAGATTCTCGGCCGTGCCGTGCGCATCTTCATCGAGCAGTCGCGCAAAATAACGAGCCATAGTCCATAAGGTGAACGGCATCGATCGCGGACAGTCCTCACCTAAGACAGCGGCACAATTCTCATCCTGATCAATCTACGCTTAATCTTGCAAATTTGTCGTACGTTCGTTCGAGAAACGCAGAGGGGCGGGGGAGATGGAAATTAATCGATCGGGCCAACTTTAGCGCACCTGCTAGCGATGTTTTTTTCAGTTTGTTGGCTTGATATACGCTAGTCCCCTCGCACTTGCCAGCCAAATAGAATAATCGACAGGGTATATTACGCGACAGTCATAAATTAAAGCATAAATCTCCTCTCTCGAGGACTTTTACGAGACCGGTAAATTGTTACGTCATTTCCACAAGATCACACCACCGTCTCCGTTCGCTCTTCCTTCGTTCTTCTACCTCTGCTTTCCCCCCATTCCACCCCACACCATTGCACCCCCGTTGTCGCTTCAATCTCCTGGGATTAACAACTCTGATGGATATATTTACGCATTTCGGTGTCACTTTTGTGTCCAGTCTCGCTATTAAATTTATTCGACCTTACTCGTTGTTCCTCGGCGAGTCGCATAAACACCGTTTCATCTTCACAATCGTCTTCCCTCGTCTAGTCACGAATGTATTAAATCCCGGAATCCATTACCCCTCGATACCATCTCCCGCTGTGTCAAGTGACTCGAGCACGCCTAACCACCGGCTTTTCTCCCTTTAGACGATCCGACGATTCTCGCTTCGGCCTACATCGTTCATCGCCTGCCCACTTACCACTCAAACATTCCCATCGCCCATCAACATCCGCTAATCGAGACCCTTAACTCAAATCCCCTTCCGTCACGGTTTTTGCGCCCATGACAATCGTCCACCGTTGCTGCTTAACAGATTTTGTTAATCGCGCTTTTTGCTCCTCCTCAAATGGACTTTCAAGACGCATTTAGGATCCACGGCACGAGTTTCCCCGAATAAGCTATCCTCAATCTCGTACTTACTCTCGGCGTCCTTTAATTTGGCGACGGTCAACTAATTGCTGCCTCTATTGCAGAGATCGAGCAAGCCGAGGCGCTCGAGGAACTAAGGACGAGGGAGATGCTGAGGCGGCGGAGCAAAGCCATCCCCGGACCGATGGACTACCCGAGGCCGAGGTGAGATGAGTCGATCGGGATTTGGCCAAGTGGTGTAAATCGAGGCCACTGATGTTTGTTGTTATTGTTGTTGTTGTTTGTTGTTGTGTTGTTTGTTGTTGTTACTGTCGTTGTTATTATTATTAATGTTGTTGTTGTTTTTTGCCGCGGGGAGGGGACGGATTTTTCCGTGCAGAGATGTGCTGTCGAGTCGATGAGAGTTTAGCATGGCGCGTGACCACCAATCTCCTTAATACTTCCGAAACGTAATGAAATTGAAGGATTTACGCGTGAAAAATGTTACAATGCTTGAGCTGATAATTGTTAATTCGGGGTCAATTGGATTTTGTGACGAGACACGGCAGGATCGATCCTTTCGTTTCGTTGAACTCGGTCAGTTATTAAGCGATATTAATGAGTAAGCTTTTGTCGAGGAGATAATTGTTTAAACGTTTAGAAGGGGACGACGATCGAGTTGTCACGATTGTGCAACAGATCCCGTCTTTTCGCTTTTATTTTTGACCTAGCCATTTCGCGATTAGTGGATCAAATCAAGAGCAATGTCGTATATATACTTTCACCACTCGGGATACGTCGAATCATTATATCGACACATATATCGATTGATGTAAATACCCAACTCGACTAATATTATCGCATTAGAGGTAGATGATAAATACGTATTATTAACGGGCGATCATAATGGTTTTTAGTTTAAATGATTTGCTGGCACCCGTGTGTTATTTTTGGTTTGCCTTTTTTCTCCCTTTTTTTCTTCGACGATTCCAAACTCAATATGCAGTGTTGGGCGCAGGACTCTCGTATGAATAATTATTACGCAATGAATTTTTATTTACATCGCGTCACTAATTTTCAACCAACAATGTACACACTCATTATATAAATTTACTTGCTCAAACAAAGTGCGGCAAATTCTAGCTAATTGATAATGTTTTTATTTTTTACCGCGCTTCTCGGTAAAAGTTCCTAAAAACATGAAAAATATCTTTTGTAATCGTCTAACACCGTACTTTATGGTCCTCGCGCCATAAATCATACGGTAATTTTGTTTTGCGCTGCATAGAATAATGGCGTGTAAAGCGACGCAACGAGTAACACGAGTCATACAAATTAGGGGATAGTAAAAGTTGTTGTATATTTGTCGGGAGTTTTTTTTTTTTTTATTATCGCGAGTAAATTATTATACCTAGTATATATCGACGGTATTTTAGAAATTTACAATATTAAAATAATCATCGCTCGTATCGTAAATTTACGATACAACTAGGCTTTTTAATGACCGCGGTATCAGCACGGGAATTATGCAGTTAGTTTGTGCGACATTAAAATATAAGTAAAGAAAGTAAATTATTAAGAGAACAAATTAGGTTATAAGATTATATTGTATCTAAGAGTATTATTGTACAATTTAATATTTTACAATTTACATAAAGGAGATAAAGAAGAGAGCAACATCACCGGCATTGTATTTTTCAATAAATTGTGTGCATTAAAAAATGACATATTTTAAGCTAATAGTTATCGAGTAATCGATTGGACGTTGATCATTTTTAATTCATAAGCACCTAACTTTTCGTAGATAATATGAAATGAAGTATCAAAAGATTTTGTATACACTTTATCTCCCTGATAAATTTAACACTTTTATCTTATCAGTTTGTAATCAGCTGCCACTCTATGAATCCTTGATAGTCTAATAATATGATGATAAATAGATAAACACAGACAATAATATTTGCATGCAATTGGATTGTTTACTTTTTGGTTCGTTTGATTAGACGCGCTATGGCAAAAAATAGATGAAACCTCTTTTACCTTTTTACTATTAAAATGAAGGTCCGGTAAATGTTAAGAGAAATTAGTTTACATAAGTATAATCTAAATAAGTACTCTCTAGCGAGCTCTTACTTAAAATTTTAAATATCCAATTCAAACATTCTAATTAAAAAAACCGCCAAGTATTTCAATGATGTTGTGAAGAATTAACGCGACCTCGATTAAACGAAATCCATAATAAATTTATAATTATAATGATAAGCTAATGTACTGACTAGCTAATTGAACTAATAGAATTTTCAATCTTAACATATTTTGCGTTAAAAACTAATCAATCGTAATTGGTTGTGGTAATTGTAATCGGTAAAATTAATGAAATGTTCCCTACTTCCACTAATTATTGCACCACTATGTTTAAAGTAATTCATAATAAAATAATATAATTAATAAAGATGCGGATATTTGTAAAATAGGCATATCATTAAGAGCGTGCACGCGATTATGGATTATCGTAACTGTTATTCCTCTCAATAATGCTCGTCACTCGTCAAAAAAATGCCTCGCCATCAATTGCCATATCATCTAGGCGTGTAAAAATTATTACAGAATACAAATAAAACGTGTGCATTAAATACTCCATAAAAGGAATATGCATTCTGTTTGGTATCGGCGATACCTACGTAAGTAAAATAAAAAATAAAAAATAAATAATAAATAATAAATCCAACACGAGCATAGAAACGCAACTACACCAGACAGAGATGGGCAAATATAAATAAGAATGATCGTTGCGGCGTAATGCGTTGCTCCGTTATAAAGTCGGACAACGGTCGCGCGCACCAAGAGTAAACGCATCGACTTTTGCAGGGAGGAGTGTTACTACCATCGGCGTCCGAGCGCACTGCTGAGGACGGAGGTTCACCCGAGACGGCGAGGTACGCGGGCGTTGGAGGCCGGGAGAGCGTACGATGACGAGGAAGTGGAGATGGAGGTGGAGGTAGAGATGGAGGACGAGGAGGAGGAGGAGGAGGAGGAGGTGATTGTGTCGATTGGGAGAGATGGGATGGAGGAGGAGGAGGAGGAGGAGGAGACGCCAGTGGACGAGGCGGACGAGGGGATCCGATACAAGAGTAAATCCTCCCACATGACGCTCAGCACTTACGGACACCTGAAGATCGACTACACCAACAGCTGGAACTCGCTGCATCGGAAGATCGTGAGCAAGTGACGCGGGAATGGGGACACGCGTGCCCGAGAGAGGCCCTCGGGGTCGCCCCCTCATCTTATCTGTAATCATCTGCGTCGGGCTGCGCGTGGGCGTTGATCCGCCCCTTGGACCTCCGTTAATGATTACGGCATTAATTACGCTGTGCCGGCGATTCCATGTGCATGATCGCATTTTTAAAACTAGGGGCTGGATCCGTGGGGACGATTCTTCATTCGAGCGACTTTTTATTTTACACATCATTGGTTGCGCCTACGACCTTCGGCAAATCCTTACGACACGAGTTTTTGTCGCAGCGGCACGCAATCGGCTCGATTGTTCTCTCGGTGTCGCTGAAAAACATACACTTGTCAATAAACTTGCATTGTTCGTGCGTGCACACGCGTAGGTACGGATGTAGGAGCAAGCGCATCGGACTCGATGAGCCGATGTTTATGAAGAAACAAAAAAAAATTCATTACCAAATTAATCGTTCGTGGCTCATTATGAAACCGAGCGATTTTAAATTGTTTACTTTAAATGAAAATTCTTATGATGTTTATATAATGGTGCTATCTTTTCTCATTTCTTTTTCTTTTTTTGTTCACAAATCCCGATAATTGTATTATTACAAATGAAAACAATTGTATCGTGTAGGTTTGTTCCACATATCTTTCTCGGCTAAAATCTACTAAACCCTACTTCGACCCGTCTCCTTTTTCCGCATCTTATGATGCAAATATTTTACTAAGTAATATCTGCAGATCATCTAATTAAAAAATAAAAAATAGGGAAAAAAAATTAATAAATAAAATAACATAAAAAAATTAATATAATAAATAAATAAATAAATGTTTATGATGTCATCTGTGCTTCTCAATTTTTATGATATTACAATATTACAATTATATTTAGCTTGGTCATTTCAAATAAAAATTCTACATTTACAAAGGTAGCCGTTAAATTAATTGCCCTCGATCATTTGCCGTAGCAAGCTTATTACATCGTTACAATTTAAAAGTTGTGTACAAAAAATGTTTGTTATTGTAAAAGTGTACGTTTCTCCGCAAACTAAACTATATATAAACATAATGTATCTTGTTACAAACTGTATTTGTTTTTAATTAAGTAAGAAAACTATTTGTATTCAATGTTATATGGAATAAATAACTTGGAGTATGTATTTTGTAAAAAAGAAATTAAGGAGAATAAATGATGATAAATATAAATTAATAGTTAATCGTCATCGTGTTCCAAATCCACCGTCTCATCATCGTGACGATATAGTTTTCTTCTTTTTTCAAATTTAAAGAATCCATTTTCTTTTTGAATTGCAGTACTTTCTTTAACACTGTTGTCTTCGATTTTATTTTTTCTATTGACTATAATGTCCAGATTTTGCCATCTAAAATTATTAATTATTCTATATATCATTAAAATTGATGACTATAATATGTATTAAAATTGAATAGTGTTATAATTTTGATAAATTTATAAAACATAAGGCAAGCATTTGAAAACTATTATTTTCAATAAAAGTAAAACAATTAATATTAAAAAACACATATTTAATTTCTTTATATATGACGAGCTTACATGGGTTAATACTAGGATTTACGCGACAATATGATATCGGAGAATTTCAATTGATTAATAAATAATTCGATAGTTGCCATTTTACTAAAATTGATAAACATTTAAAGAAAATTGTTTTTTTTTCTTCTTAATGACTACTACCGACACTGGTGGAAAAATACATGAACATTTACGAGTGAATTAGGTGGACTAGGCCGTGCATAAAAACTAATTGATTTGATTTTTAAAGTATTTATAAATAAAAATGCCAAATAAAATAAGATCTGGTTTTCTAGTTGAAGTCATTGAAGTCATTGAGTCGGATGTCGATTAAGAATCGATTGCATTATAATGAACGATCGGCAAGTGAAAGTGAGTGAAATTGTTCACTTATTATAAAAAATGTATTCGCTGTATCATTTAATACTGCTTAATTACAATTAACAAAACTTTTAACACGAAGCTGGAATACGCAGTTAGAGTAAAATTAAACAGATGTCTAAAAAGCCGATAAACAAGTGGTGAAAGTTATTTGACGAAGGTAAAGGCCACTTTATCAGTAGGAAAGATGATGCTCATTAGTTTCTGAAATATATAGCCATAATTTGTTTTGAGAATACTTAGGATTTCTAATTTACATATTCTTTAATGTAAATGTTTATTCATATTTATGAATACTACGGATAAATATAAATTAAATTCATTTTCAGTAAAAGCATACATAATTTATTTACAATTTTGATGAAACAATATACTTTAATAAAACAAATTAATTTCAAATAATGTTACATTTTCTAGTAGTTGTAGTCAAATTTAATATTTTTCTTAAATTATTAGACAGGTTTCATTTTTAATTTGAATTATTTTAATTAATTAATATTGTTTCCGTACAATAATTATATTGAAACATAATTTAACATAATTAAGTTGAATAACATTTTAATCAACATTTATAATCGATCAAAATTACTTTCTTATTAATTACATCTACTAATGGAATTTATTTCTTTACCAACATATGATAACTTACCTGCTCATGGTTTTGCTTACCCAATAATTATGTCGGTATATATTCTATAATTTCTATGTCTTTTTATCGATCGGAATTACAAATATCATATTATTGTTTTTCATGTATAATAATGTAATTCATGTATAATATAAAACTTAATTATTATATTTTTGTTGTATAGAATAAAATACATGACATACATAATAACAATAATAATTATCAATAATAATAATTTTAATTGATTATATATTTAAAATATATTTTTACCTCAAGTGATGAGGATCTTTAGATTTCTTCTGACTCTTGTTTATTGGCTTCGATTCATTGTTCAATGATGGATGTGTAAAATTGTTTAAATTATTATTAGAGCCGTTTACATTCTTCGAGTAATTTGACTAATAAATATTGGGTATTTAGTAAACTATTAGATAAATTTGTAATTTAACGTATATTATACCAACCTTTTTTATTGCATTTTTTACATTTCCGGAGAAACTAAAGTCTCTTTGTTTATCATTAACTTTTGTATTTTCTTTTGTCAGAAATTCAGATTTTTTTTTCAATTCCTCAACTGTAAATTAATAAATGATGCAGTTTATTCACACGATTCCATCATAATAAAAACCGTTTTTTATTTATTATATTTATATTGTCGCTGGAAATTGAAAAAGTTTCGAAAAAAGCAAGAAAACATTTTATACGAACGGAAATCGAACTTGGAACTTTTATTTTCAAAATGGTTACTACTTATTCCATCCGAGCTGTTTCATTATATTATTATTGTCAAATAATTACACGTGAATCATAAAATAATAAAATCTATTGTACTTACATATATTATAATATCATTTGTACAATAAAAAATATTGAACATATCAAACGGTATTAAAATATATATTAAATTATAATGTATGATTTTTTGTAACGACAATAATTTTTTTTTTTTTTTAACTTATGCTATCTATGGTTTATGTTATTGTGATTTAAGCAAAGAAAAAATCAATAATCGCCAAAGAACTTTTTGAAAATAAATGTTTGTGTGTTAGATGGTACTTTTATTTATTATTTTAAATATCATTCACGTTATGCTCAAGCGATTCTCCCGCTTCGTTAAAAAAAAAAAAAAAAAAAAAAAAAAAAAAAAAATAATAATTAATGTTTTTCTCCTAGAATTTAACTGTCTTACAATTATGATGTATAAGTGAGATATTATTTACAAGCTGTGATATTTCATTAATTTATGAAAAATTTTAAATAAGGACGATAGAATGAAAGATTAATATATAAATCTTACTTATCTTTAAATAATCTTCAATCATTTGATTTTGTTCTTGCATTGTAGATTGTAGATGATTATTTTCCTTTTGTAAAGATTCTAACTTTAGTCGATGTTCATTGACAATTTTTTTAAGTAAAGCAATTAAGTCACATTTTTGTTTTTCTTTTTGTATCAAGCGCTGTTTTAAATGTTCGACTGCTTCTTCTAAATTTGTATTTGCAGATTTTAATTTCGTATATTCCTATAATACAATGTTTTAATAGAAAGGGATATTTTATTTTGTGCATCATGCATATGAAATACCATAAACAAGTACATTTCGCATACACTCATCGCGCACACACGCACACGACAACTAAAAATGCATTGAAATAATTAATGAAAAAAAGAAAAAAAAATTATAGATTGAATGTAATCTTTGTATTATAATATTCAATTATTGTAAAATCTAAGAAAATTCATAAAACTTTTATCCCCTACACGTTTTAATATATACGTAATTTATTACATTATTATTATTATTGTCGTTGTTGTCGTTGTCGTTGTTGTCGTTGTTGTTGTCGTTGTTGTCGTTGTTGTCGTTGTTATATTCTTACATATATTCATTTAAAGACGTCGAAATAATTACTTACACTCTTTATTTTGTGAAATTTTTGCATTATAATATCAAGCTGCAACTGCGGTTGATCATACATAATTTAAACGGTAAATGTGACAATATTAAATGTTATATTTATTATTAATTAGTAAGATGTGCGTATTTATAATTAGACAATCGGTATAAAATTGCACTGGAATACTTATGTTTTATAAAAGCTTAGTATAATACTCAATTATTCCACGGACAGAAGCTTTGCATTTAATTACATTATTTTGGTAAAATTTTATTACATTTCGTATTGAAGTTCGACATTGTATGAACCGATGACTGATTAGTGAATTTTGTGCACGCAGCTTTGGAAGTCCGATAGATAAAAGTGTAAATTTGTATGTGCGAGTGTTGAAAGTTAAAAAGAAAAAAAAAAAACAAAAAAACAATAGATATCGTCGAATAGATTGAAATTCTTTGCAATAATTATGATTTATAAATTTTGAATGAAGATATAAATAACTTTTTGGAAAATAAGAAATTTAACCTAAATTTAGGATATTTCTCCATGAACGTTTTTGGACAATAGAATACCATTTATGAGCTTTTATTTGCTTAATAATTATACACCTTTATATGTATATTTATACAATAAAGAATATGTTTAATATTACAAGGCTCTTATGCCAAAAGCATATAGTAAATAATAATCTGAAATGTTGTAGTCTTGCATTAAAAGTATGTAAAGTCTTACCATGTGTCAATTATAATTCGAATGTACACTATTGCATTCAAGCAATTGAGAAGTTACCGAGAGATCCAAACGATAGAAAACAATATATCGATATGATGGCACAAAAAAAAATAGACGAGATTTTAAAAGATCCGCAGTTTCAGCAGAAAAAGAAAATTTTTGATATGGAAATACAAAACTGGAGGGATAGTGGTTATAATATGCCTCTGGAGATAAGACCACGAGATTGGGTTCAACTACTTAGGTTGAAGAGTCTACATCAGCGAAGGTAAATTTAGTTTCATTAATCGCTACTTTTGATTTTATGATTAACTTTGACTGTTTATTGTTAATTCGTTTCCTCAGGAAATTTCTCAATTATCTCTTTTTAACGGAAAAAAAGGTAGAGAAGAAAAAAGAAATAAAAGATAAAAATAGGCTAGAGTATGAAAGCAAACTGAGTGTTAAAAAAGTTAACGATGATCACCTAGAGTATGGAATTGGAAATAATTTTATGATAAGAAGGGTTACCCCTTCGGTAATGAGTAAATTATATGTATGGAATTGTCTCAAGGGGTATATGTTTGGAAATAAAATAATCTTCGATTGCAGTTTTAGCAAATATATGTCCATACATGAAAGCCGAAGCTGTGCCAGACAGTTCATAGAGTGTTATGCTGCTAATCGGCTTCATAATTTTCCATTTCATATATATATGTGCAATGTTGATGTATCGAGTGATTTTATAGAGTTTCTTCATAGGTATATTCCAACATTATTTGACGTTGATTTTCCAATGACTATTACAACAAAAACTTATTTAGAACTATTTGACAAAAGTGAATTAGTTTACTTATCATCGAATAGTCATGTTGAAATGACAGAATATAATCCTAATATCACTTATATAATTGGAGCTTTTGTTGATAAGGTAAAAAAATATTTTGTATTTATTTCTTAAGTCCTAGTTTTGACATTCTTGCGATGGAGATATTTTTAAATTGAATATAACTTGATTGGGATACTTTATACAATTCCACATCTAACTCATATTGATTTTTTCTAATCGCTAATGCAATTCTCGTTTATGAAATGGAATAATTTAATTTAGTCATAATTGAAAAACTTTTTCGTTTGGTATATCGCGTGTCCGATTTTACTGACTTTCATTCGAATCTGACATTACATAAACTGGAGAATTAAATTTGAAAAAAGGCTATGTCGTAAGTTATGAATATTTTTTGTTCAAATTACTTTCAAGTCACGGGTCGAATAAAACGAAGTTAAATTATTTGTTACAAGTTCAAATTATTATTGGCTGCATAAAAATGTATGACGTGTGCAATTTCTTTCCAGGGTGATAAACAACCAATTTCACGTGCCAAAGCAATCAAAGATAATATAAAATATGTGAAATTACCTCTGGACAAATATCTTCGATTCGGCGATGGTTCTGGCAAAGATTTAACAATAAATCATGTTTACAATATTATGCTCGATGCGCAAATTAAAGATTGGAAAGATGCTTTGAAGCATGTACCTTCAAGAAAGTTGTATAGTAGTAGAATAATATCATTAGAAAACAAAGTGAAAAGCGAAATGTTATTAAAAAGCTTGACGGTTAAGGATAATGTAGATGACATAAATGATAGAAATAAATTAGGAGAAAGCAGGAATAAGTTTAATATGAATATGTCGTTAAAACATAAATTAAATAATTAAATTGTAGAATTTTAAGTTTGAATAATATAATAAAACTCATTATTTATATTTTTTAAAATTATGCTTTATGAGTACAAAAAATTTGTTAAAAACTCTCCAAAATTAATCTGACATTTGTCGTTAGATTTTTTAAAATCTACGTATCTCTTATGGTGTAGTATACATTTAGGAGAATATTTATACATATACATCGAGAAATTTAATTGATCTATGACACCGGGGCATGTAGTTTGGAACTAAAATAATATAAAAATAATTACTTTTTAAATTAGCCGCAGTCTTAAATATATTGCTCGTTTCTTTAAAATATTACATATAGCCTCGAGGAGCTAACGTATTGATTTAAAATGAGCAATCGTATGTAGTATATAATGTCACTGTTTAATCACAAATATTTTAAGTTCCCATTACATTTCATAAGTTTACATTTAACACAGCACAGTTTAATAAATCATAGTCTTTATCGTTAAATTTTCTAAGCAAATTATTCGCTATCCATTAGCTTGAGAGCTTCTTTTTATCGATACGCATGGATAACGTTTACGCCACTCGATAATATTAGCATCGCTGATTCCTTCACAGAAGCTTAAGTCGATCATGTGCAAGCGCAGACAAGAAAGTAACTTTATACAAATATCGGGAGTAAGAGAGCGAGCTCCAAGTAAATCTAGTTGCTGTAAATTCTGACACAACAGCAATGGCTCGAGATCACGGTCCGTCAGACCACGAAACGACGTCAAAAAAAGTTTTTTCAGGTTTCTGCACGAGCTCAATAGTACTCTCAAGGAATCTCCAACTGCTCCTATTCCAGTACTACATGTATGAAAAAAAAATGTAAGAGAAAACATTGTAACTTTATCACTGTAATAGGTGCATCTACTACAAAAGGATGCAAATTGAGAAACATTACGTGTAAATCAGTCGTACTAACCACCATCCGAAGTCGATTTCTTTTAGATTGGTACAATGGGTTAAGGCTCTTATACCATGCACCGTAAGAGTTTGAGCTTTCCAAAAGTCAATGCTTTCTAGTTTTATACAAGAGACTGCTATTTCCGAAGCTATATCATCCATATTGAGTCGATCGTGCATACCGGCTAAATTTAAGTGTCGAATATGAGAATTTTTATGAAGAATCGAACATAATGTATCTGTTTCGATCAATGTTCTGTATAATTCAAGTCTCTCTAACTTTTCTAGATTCTGCAGAGGTGCAAAGCCATTACTATTAACCGCTGTACAATTGCGCAGACATAATTCTGAAACGATATTATTATTATTATTATTATAAAGTCTTTTATATTATTAGATAATCGAGATTTTCATTGATTAATTAATGAAATTAATGCTGTGCAAACAATACCCTTAAGATTTTTGCACGTTTGCGAAATTTCTTCAATAACAGCATCATTCACAAAATGACAGCAATTTAACCTCAAGTGCATTATCGTACTTCCACTACTTTGTAAAAATCCAATGAAGTCATCGGATTTTATTGTATTGTAATTACCACACCAGGAGAGATCTAGTCGTTGCAAATATTGACATTTGTTGGCGAAATTATTTAAAACAAACGTATCTACGCAATACCAGTAGGGTTTGAGATTGAGACTCGTGTACAGGAGGGCATCGTGAGCAATGTTATTGAAGTGACGATTAACTTGACTACATCGATTGAGAGACTTTAAATCTAAATTTTTAAATATTTTCAGCACCGTTTCATCCTATAAAAGGATATGGTAAATACATAAAGAAATTAAAAATTATACCTAAATATTGATTATATGTCAATTTATGATACTTACAGGAAGTGCAGCAAAATTTCCATTATTATTATTACTATTATTCTTATTCTTCTTCTTCTTATTATTATTATTATTATTAGTATTATTGGTATGTTTCACAGTTTGTGTTTCAAAGTCGGATTCTGTTAAAGCCGTTGATGAGAGATTGATATCTCTTATAAGTTTTGGAAAGTCTTCTTGTAAGAATTTTTGTAAACTATTAAAAGCTTCTTCGATCGGCGGAATGTAATGACAGTGAAATCCTAATTTAGCTGCCAGTTTTCCTTTAGGAACTGTTTCGATATATTGACTAAAGCATAAAACGATTCAAAGAAATTACATTCATGCTGATTACTTTATTATTATTATTATTATTATTATTATTATTCTAGATAAGAGTGAGCTAATTTTTAATAATCTTATTATAAAATGTAACTCCAAAGTGTAAAAGCAATGTAAAAAAAAAACAAAAAACAACAGAGTCCGCTTAATTAATAAATCAATACCAAAGATAAAACTTTATCTTTAAAGTACAATTATTTCACATTGTGATAAAATTTTAATAAAGCATTTTGAGTCTATGGTTAACTTAGTTAACCAACTTAGTTAATCAGTTACTGACTCTAAAGAAAGTTCATTCCAATTACATTTACTAGTATTTTAAAAGCAATGCTTTGGGTGATTTATAAAAATAAGCAAATTATGACTAAGGATTAAAAGCCTAATTATACCTTTCGTACAGCGTGCAATGCTTGTACAATGTGTTCTTTAACGTTCTTAAATCTTGATTAACTTTCAAATAATCTGGAGTTAAATTATAACAATCGTCATTGTTATATCCCGTTCCACCCAGTTCCTTTAATAAGCAACTCAAACTGTGCGTCTGAAGTCCTACATTAGGAATAATAAGTTCGGATGTCCCAATGAGTAATACAGCATCCAGTTCAGCATAGTAGTCCAGTAGACTATGATTAAATTCTAATCTCAACATTTTCGTTTTAAAGTTACACAGCTGCAAAGGAGGTGAAAATATTCGTGGTTTGTGCGGTACAATCTGAGGTGGACCATTCCAAAGCCGTAGCCACTGGCCAGTTTCGTTTCTAGCCCAAATTGCCACAACGCTGCCTGGATTGTAAGTTTCATAAATGGATATTCTAACTGGATATACCTCTTTATGATATTCTAAATCTATAATGAAATACGTGAATTGTCAATTAAACGTTCTCACAATTATGGTAAATTAAAATAAAAAATATGGTAAATTAACGAGCCGGTTACTTTAATATAAGATTATTTTTCTTTAAAAGTTCAAACGATGCTCGTTCGGAATTATTAATGTTACAAAGTCGTCGACACTAACGCTGCTCATTTTTAGATAAGATAAAAAATAAGGAAGCATCAGACTCATAAGGGATGTTAAGAAACGATAAGTCGATCGATTGCCATTATTCTTTTATCACACACATTTCGATAAAAAAAATAATTGGCTGCAATAAATGACTTTTTCATAATTATTATACTTACCAATATAGTCGTGACTTGTTATGGGATTGTTATTTTGAGGCATGTAATCCAAGGATTTTGAAGGCGCTCTGTCCCACCACCTGCCATACGTTCGCTACAGTAAAATAATCTCACGACAATTAATCAATAAAAATTCTTCATTCATAAAAATATTGGACATTGGACAATGGCATAACTCACAGTTTTATAATAAATAGGACGCGGATAATTACATTCTTTCTTTCTTTACCAAATTGCAATTATGTAACAATTACTTTAACGTTCGGTTCTGTCACTATTATTCCTACCATTTACAACCTACTAGTCAATCACTAATAAATCAGTATATAAATAATTCTATATTACTATTACTATTGTGACAAAATTGACATGGAATGAAATTGTCCCTCGAACCGGCAATTATCACTTAAAAAGGGATAAAAAAAAAAGAAAAAGAAAAAAAAAAAAGAAAAAAAAGGAAAAACAAAAAGACGAAATAAAACGGGAGAGAGAGAGAGAGAGAGAGAGAGAGAGAGAACGTCACAATTACGATTAATCGACGTATGGATTAAGAATTTCTTTCCTACACGATATCACAAACAAAGCAATTAGGATAATTTTGCTTATTATAGCGCGTAGTGCTCGCTCGTGCGAGTCGTCGGTCCTCCAGACAATGATTCTAACAAAGAATTTTCTTAAAGTAATTTCCAATGGGACAAAGGGAGCGAGACTAACAAATATAATCACCATGACAAAGGCCTGCGGGAAGTCTCCATAATCGGGAAACTTGCTCGGGTTTCCAGCAATATTATATGCCGTGTAGGAAATGCTAATGTTGCTCCCGTACTGCGAGCTAAAGTCCACGACATCCTTCACGAACTGCTCAACGAACTGCACGGACTCCTCTCTCTCTTCGTCCCCTGGTTTTCCCTTCTTAAGGGGCACCAGCTCAAGTTTGGCCTCGTCACACGAGGATACCATCTCATCGATCGACCCTTTCGTCCTCTCGTCTTCGCGCACGCACACGCACACGTAGACACTATCCACTTCGTCCCTTCACGCCTGCCGCCACCCCTCGGCTACGTCCCGCCCGATCAACCTCGTCGGGCAGTAAGCGGTAACACGGGTCGTCGACTCGGTTGCGGCGGCTCACCCCGGCGGAGCTTCATGGCTTGCCATAATCGCGTCCTCAACGACGAGACGGGTCGTTCTTCTCCCACCACGACTCTCGACGTCTCGTTCCCCGAGTCACCCGAGACAATGTCGAGTCAAACGACGGGGGAAGCGTCGTCGACCCAACCACTGTTCGAGCCGCGGGCAACAGCTGTTTATGTCGTTAGCGACGGCAGTTCGCGCGAGGTCCGCGACATCTCCAGCTTCGGTTACGAAGCGACCTAGCACTGCCGGGGTCGCGAGTGGCGTGGATTGTTAGGTTATAACCGGCTCGTCGTCGGCCTCGAGCGCCCAATATGTGGATGCTTAAAGGGAACGAAGAGGAAGGGACTCGAGCTGGACCGTGACGAGGTCTAGTCCCGGCGGTGAGCATTCGGACCAAGTCCTCGTTCATGAGCTTTTTGGCGCGCCACGACAGAGAGAAGCGAAGTGAAGCTTGAGATAAGAGGTTATGCGGAGAGGAGATTGAGATAATGTCGAGAGGATGTTGCTACTTGTAGGAGGGCAACTAACCTGAGTAGAAGGATGAATAGGATTCTCGCGCTGCCGATGAAGACGGTCGGTCAGATGGTGGCTGCTGGGGAGATCCGCCCTGGCCAGTTGGCCGATGCAGCCTTGAAAATGACCGTGGCCATTAAGCCGCTCAACGCATTCGTAACCGTGACGGGTGAGCTTTTGAAGCAGCAGTCCCGCGATGCCGACGAGAGGCAGATGACCAAGAGGCTGCTGGGCGACCTCGATGGCATACCAATTGCGATTAAGGATAATTTTTGTACGGGCGAACAGTTGACGACCTGTGCATCTCGCATGCTTGGGAATTTCGTGCCGAGCTACGATGCCACCGTTTATAGAAAGTTGAAGGAGGCCGGTGCAGTCTTGGTAGGGAAAACCAATTTGGATCAGTTTGCCATGGGTAGTGGTACCGTCGATTCGTATTACGGACCGACCAAGAACTTGTGGGGCTCCAGTTTCATGCAAAATTACAGCATCGATGGTCGTTTTCACGTGGATGACATAGGGCGTAGTAATGGTCTGTCCGGTACGGAAGATTGGTACATAGCAGGTAAAGAGCAAAGGGGGATAGGTTTACATTTATAGTGGAAGTGTACGTTAGTACACTTTGATAATACAATAATAGGCTCGGTGGTTTTTGCAATTGTAAGTGAAAGTATGAGCGTTACTTTGCGATTTGACAAAGTCATGTATAAGCTAGTACGATCCATAAGACTCAAAATGTCAATGGTTTGTTGGAAGATGCTTTGTACGACGAGTACAATTGCAAATCATCTCGAGCCAATTTTTTGACCACTAAACTAACGAGAGTCGATTAGAAAGGTAGTTGGTGCATGAACAAAGCTACTTTTACTAACAAAGATTGAAAATCTTTTAGGAGGAAGTAGCGGTGGATCTGCGATCGCAGTTCTGACAGGTACTTGTTATGCTGCGCTCGGTTCTGATACGGGTGGTTCGACGCGAAATCCAGCATCGCACTGTGGTCTTGTGGGTCTAAAGCCAACTTATGGACTAGTATCTCGTCATGGACTTATACCGCTAGTCAATTCCATGGATGTTCCTGGAATACTTGCACGCACAGTGGACGATGCTGTGGCGATACTTAATACAATAGCTGGACCTGATCCATTCGATTCGACAACGTATAAAAGAGTCTATACACCCATACAACTCCCTGCACGGGTCGATATCAGTGGTCTTAGAATAGGAATTCCTAAGGAATATCGGTGCTCTGGATTGACGAACGAAGTAGAATCTAATTGGATGCAAGTAGGCCAATTGTTGGAGGATGCAGGAGCTCATATTTTGCCGGTCTCTTTGCCACATACGGAGTACTCTATTGTCTGCTATTCCGTATTGAATCAGTGCGAAGTTGCCAGCAATATGTCCCGTTTCGATGGAGTAGAATATGGTTTCAGGGCAGACGAGTATTCGACGACCAAAGAACTTTATGCTAAAACCAGAAGCCAGGGATTTAACGACGTTGTTCGCAGTCGAATTCTCACTGGCAATTACTTCTTACTCGAGGAAAATTACGAGAACTATTTTGTTAAAGCAATGAAGGTAAGAAGGCTCATCGCTCAAGACTTTGACAAGGTCTGGCAGTCTGGTATAGACTTGCTGTTGACACCGACGATGCTCAACACCGCACCAAATTATTCTGATTTTATAAGTCAAGACAATCAAACTCAGTGCTCCGTGCAAGACTATTGCACACAGCCGGCTAACATGGCTGGAATTCCAGCCATTAGTATACCGATAAAATTATCAAACGAGGGCTTGCCGTTGTCCGTGCAATTGATGGCCCCTAAACTGTGCGAAAAAACAATGCTCGCTGTTGCCAAATGGATAGAGGATGTCGTGAAATTTCCCGTGCTAGTTCTCAAAGATGATAGTTTAATAAGTTAAAGTTTGCTTTAAGGGACGCTACAGAGATGCCTTGTTATTGTAATTTAAGTTAAAAGCTTGTATACTTATCGTTTAAAGAGTCTTGTTATCTCAATGTATTAATATATACATATACATATACATATATGTTGACTTGTAATAAAAGAGGGTAGGTAATGCAATTTTATTTGAAAATGAATGGTTGAAGTGTTAATCATTGCACTAATTATAATGCATGTCCCGAAAGATGGCTGCATCTGCTTCCTCGATCAAACTCCCTCAAAAAGCTGTAATGTTTATTTAGATATTCGTCGTGTCGCTTAAGCATCGAATAAATCCGGATGAACTGGGCAGCCTATTAGTAAGTAGTCGAAGGTATCAGCAATAACTCGGCAGGCCTTTTGATTATATAAAATTAATCGACTCGGGCGCACAACAGAAACAGAGAAATTTGAAGCCTTGCAGCGATGAAACGTGATGCCAAGATCGAGACAAATCCTGGGGATTCTTAGTCCCGAAACTTAGCTTACTCGAGTGACTAAGGGTTGGCGATGGTGTTAGAGTGATGGAGGGAGTTGGGCGATCGAGCGATTAAGCGAGAGAGAGAGAGAGAGAGAGAGAGAGAGAGGGAGAGAGAGGGAGAGTAGCCACCCGGGGGTAGCGGTTCGAGAAAAGAACGCGGAAAAGTAGGGTTGCGTGTGCGCAGACGCGGAGAGCCGTCCGGGGGCTGCATCGCCGCCGCCGCCGCCGCCGCCGCCGTCGCCGCCATCGCCGCCACCGTCGCCATTGTCGTGGCGCGGGCTCAAAAGCTCCCCGGTCGGACAGTCGAGGAGCGGGCACCGGAGTCGCGACGACGTCCTCGTTCTCACGATTTGGTGCGCGCGCACGCGAACGAACGAACGAACGACTCCAGAGTTTCGTATCCCGACGAGCGTGACACGTGTGTGCATCGCTGCTGACCTGGAGACGACGAGTGAGCCCCGTACGTACGAATGCTTTGTTACTTGCCATTGTTGTTATTGCACGCGGGTGGCTTTGGTGTCGTCCGCTGGGAGTTTGCCGCGGAGGTACGATTGATTAATGAGGAGTCGATGAGTCGACGTGCCGTTTCATTATATAGGGGAGCATCGACTTTGGGTCCCTTGTGCCCTCGCTACGACGCGCGACACATTAAATATTTGCAGGAGTCAGACCTTCCCCCGTACGACGATGCTTTTTATTCAAGTAACGAATAGTAGTATTTTTTGTTGGGGATTGATTATCGCTTTAGATTGTACGAGAGAGAGAGAGAGAGAGAGAGAGAGAGAGAGAGAGAGAGAGAGAGCGTCCTACATTAGACGTAATACTTTGGATTTGTATGTCGAGGTGTAGTTACAATCTGTATGTTGCTTCTATCAGTGTGCATAAATCCATTAGCGTTAATAATTAAATTACTATAAACATTTATTCGAGCTGCGTTGAGCACACTTGCGTCTTTATATCAGTATTGCGAAAGTAATCGCAAAGAGCATTTTACTACACACATCACTGGTATGAAAAAGACCGTCATATAAAATATAAATCGTAGCGATTATAATTCCAAGCCTTCTTCTATTAACCTAAACGTCTTTCCGAGAGCTTTTTCTTAAATTACCTCATCTTGGAGGCTTTGTTTTTATTTAATTTAGTGCGTTTGCAAGAGAGGAGAGTTATTACAATTGTCATTTGAAAGCAAACGGAACGATATTTTCTAATGCCCCTTAAAGTCACGCTTTAAATTTTAATTTGTTTAAGTGGCTGTAGCCCATCGTCGAAATTCTCACCTCTAATCAAAATTAATGGTCTCTGCGTACGTTTAATATTTAGAGAACGGCCAACGGTAAACGGACAAATAATAATAATACAAGAAAGGAGGAGGAGGAGGAGAGAGAGAGAGAGAGAGAGAGAGAGAAAGAGAGAGAGTGAGAGTGAGAGAGAGAGAGAGAAACAACAAACGAATGCCTTATTCGCTTATCCGGAGAGTACGTTAACGTTCTTTCTAATTCATAATCCGAGCGCCGCAGAAAAAATTACGCTTCCATTATAATAGCGTATAATTTCACCGAGCAGCCTCCTTCGTCCCTCGCACGCACACCAAAACACACTCCATTAGCATTTGACAAATTCTCATTAGCCTCGTTCTCTCGATAATTACGTGTATTACGGTTGCATCGGATTTTCGCCCGCCCCCGACGACAAAATAACAAATAATTCGCAGGAAAAACGAAGCAGACGTTCGCTAGCTCGCGACTCGGGATATCAAATTTTTGGGAAATCGACGATCGCGAAATCGCTCTGTACTCGTGTATCGCGTTCACCCGGTGTTTCACTCGGCATTGACTTCCATCTCGCGTTATCGGCCTCCGTAGACTCAGCGAGCCAAATGCAGAAAGAAAGTCGTGTGCAAGTTAATAACGAGATAGGCGGATCCGAGGCGGAGGCGGCGCTCGTCCGGCCTAACATCGACATTGTCGACTTATTCTTTTGGATTTTGCACAGATACGACGGACAGCTACGAGTCCTTTGTAAGGAGGAGCTTTGTCGCGCGGCTTTGTCCTGTCATTAGTCCGGTAGTTCGAGAGCTTTTATCAAATTGTCCCTGATCCGCGTAAAGTTTCATTTGACCTTGAGGTGCTTTTTGCTACCAGTAGTAGGGGACGAGGGAATAAGGGAACTTAACTCGAGGCTTTGCTGGTTTAATACGTTGGCCGAGATTGCCAAGAGTGTCGCGAGCATTACGCCTCGGGTGAGATGCTTATCACTCGTTCTCTCGCTCATCTGGCGCGAATATCGAAGAAATGCGCATCGTTGTCGAGTGGTTTGCTCCGTGTGACGTACCGATATTTCATAATAAGGAGGATTCCGCGTAAATTCTCATTCGCACTACGTGTGGAGTAAAGGAGCGTCGTAAAGGTGTCGGTATATTTTACGAGCACCTTGAAGCCAATCGAGTTTAAGAATTGGCGCACAGTTGGAAATAACTTTTTCCCCTCCCAATTACGAATGAAATAGCCCTCATACTTTTGCATTAGGCACAGCAACTCCTCATTTACGTTTTATTCAACATGTAGTCGGCAACTGAAGAATCGTTGGATTAATCACTCGCTAGCTGCCCAACAATTTGCATATTTGCTCCAAGCTCCCATTGCGCACTTTATTTGGTAATAAACAGTAAGAGAGCGATCTAATTCCGCCGTGAAAAAAAAAAAAAAAAACAATAATAAATAAAAATAATAATTCACTTAAACTCAGCATGAATCGCCGACGAAATATTATTATCGTACGTAGGCGAGATACGTGTTCAGGGTAATCGGAGCGCTAATCTTGTAAGGTCCGAGACGTAATTGAGTCTGAAAGGAAATTCCTTCCTGTACAATGCACCACTCTTACGCAGATAAGTGCGGAACGTTTTTCTTCATTGGATTTGCATCAATTAATGACGTCTGCAAACACTGTGCTTTGTCGCGTTAACGTCTTGTCGTAACTCACTATCAATCGAATATAATCGAATTCAACGATACGCTTTATTAAATTAATTAACTAAATTAATTAACTTTTTATTTATTTAGTTGTGATTCAATTGAAATTCAATGCTTGGTTAATGTTAGATCGAAGACGAATGGAATAATGAAAGGAAACAGCTAGAAATTTCGTGCATATTATTTTCATTAGATATGCGTGAAAATTATATTATCGTCTTGATAAATAACATTATTCGGGATAATTGGAAAATACCATCATTTGTGTAAATCAATGATTTACGTGAGCCAGTACTATAACTACTTATCTTCGATGAATATATAAATATTCGTTGAATATAACATACTTGAAACCTGTATTTATCGCCTTTGTAAAAATACTCGTAATGAAATAATAAAATTCAATATTACACGTACGGAGCAAATTTTAAGATTTTTACTTTCGTTTCATATTTAAAATAAAATATTTAGCACTAATTGTCAATTAATTCTACACTTTTCAAGCAACTCTTATACAAATATCTTATACGTTTGCGGCCCCAAGCGCATATTGGATTATTTAAAAGAAAAAAAGAACAACCTATATAATTAAAAATTTCATATTTCGGCTCGGCAAAATAATATGGAAAATTAACTCAATTAACTTAAGGTAAATAAATACATGATTTCAAATATTAAATATAAAATATAATTATTATTTATAATAAATATTATACTTTAAGTTCTTTTTTTTTTTTTTTTTTTTTTTTTTTTTTTTTTTTACAATTGGATCGATATTTTGAAAAAAATACTAGATTTTTGTTGCAAGTAAAATGATCTTAAGGTGATCTATTAATTAATTTCACTAACATTTTTACGTCTCTTATTATTTACATTCAAGAATCTATAATTCCGGAAAATTTTAATAAATTATGGTACATACTACTTGTATTTTACATAATTGTATTTTTAGTTCTCAATTTATTCGGCGCAGCTCGTAATGTACATACAGTGGTAGATGTATCACGTACGGGGATTGAAATAAAGTTTTAATTAAATAGAAAATATGAATTTTATAATAGATTTATAATTGAATTTTTCATAAAAAAAAGTTAAAATCACATTTTGCAGCAATAAATGCAACGTAATGAAATTCTAATGACTTTTTATTCATATTTCTTACAAGTTTTATCGATATGTGTGTTGTGTGTGCGTGTACGCGTGTTTAAGTTTCCATGTAAATAACGGAATTTTATTAATTACTTATTGATTTGTTGCCTGCAAACAATTCACTCGTTAAAATCAACGTTCGGTTCCCAATATTGCGACATAAATTTAAGATATTAAAATTTTATTACCGTGCAAAGGGATTAGAATTGCGATAAGATGTCGACTAAAAGCCCAATGATTTATACATTTTTTTTTTAAATAATTTCTTTTAAACGTTTCACGAAAATTTTTCGACAAAATCTGTATGCCACTTTTAACCGCCTAATATTGTCATTATATTTTCTCGTTTAATTAATCAAGTCACAATTTGTATTTAATAATTTTTACATAATTCCAACGCGCTTACTCAAATCATAAAATAGCTAATTTATAAAATTATCTGTAACTATCGGACATCTATTATTAAAATGAATCAGGAACTGATAAATTGTTTAAGCAGAATGAATTTAGCCGATGAAGTTTTAGTAGAGTAACAAACATTCGGAATCT